AAGAAAAAGGAAAAATGTAAATATGAAATTCATCAAGGAAGACACCATAGGTTTTTCTAACCCAAGTACTCTTCAATCTTTTCCAAGATCATCTTCAGGGGGAAATTACAAAGACAAATTTATTGTAACTGTGATAAAATCTGCATTCCGTTGTGCTGAATTTTAATATTGCAACTAAGCTGAAAATTGTTTTAGGTTGTTACTACTGTAGTGTAATTATAAAAATTCCATCATAACCATTGTTGATTCAGTTTTAAGTTCATTAATGCCAACAGCTGACAGAGAATAAACAAAGAGTGAAGGTAAAGTGTCAAACATTGCATAGGAAAAGACAGGAAGTTGTTGAGAGCCACAATTACTCATGTCCTGAAGAAGCACAGCACATAAAATAGGAATATCAGCTTAAATTGAAAGGAATTACCCAAAATTAAAACATTTTGCAGCAGAATAATTTGGTGAGTAGCTTTGAGTTATTAAGCGCTTACCATCTATTGGAATTGTCAAGCAAGGATTCACTTATTCACAGTTTGCTTTTGTCAGAGATGTGAAAAAAAATACTTGGAAGAGGATGGATTAAAGTTTGAAGTTCTTTTAATAATCAACAATATGTCTGGCCATCTTAAATCTTTGCTATGAAAATAAAAATGATAAAATATTTACACTTCCAAATACAGACTTACTAATTAGGCCCCTATTCACCAGGGCAGTACTTGGTATGTTGGGGTCATATAACTCTGCCTGCTAATTTGAGCATATTCATGTAGAAATTAATATAGATGCCAATATTGACATTATGCAGTCCTTGAAATCACTATTGTAAATGCAATAATGTAAAAGCTACAATGGGTGAATTAAAAATAGAAACCATAAAATGCTTGCTGTTGAGAGAACATAAATTGTTGCCCTGAAGAATTTGAAAATCTTCCCAGAGACAGAGAAGAAAAATCACTGAAACAGAAAGAGAAATTGGTGAAGAGGGAATTGTTAGTATGTTTGAAGTGGCAGCACAAATTGAAAGCTGTCAGGAAGTGGTAAACTAACAATTGGACAGGCTTGTTAAAGAATCTATTATTGACAAAGATGAAAAAAAAAACTGACAAAATTTGTCAAGATCTTTGACCCAGGTGCAATGGATGAAATTACTGAATATGATCTTCAGATAGAATACAGAATTAAATTCACCATATGATAACCAAAGCAGAGTGCAGGAAAATTACAAGTTGAAAAGAAAGTTTCCAATCCCAATGTTTTTCAAGAGGTTTCACAAAATATTCAACCACTGAAGATCCCCAGCCATCAATATAATTTTTTAATATTTAATTAAGTCATTATATTTGGTGTCATGATTGATTTATTGTTTAACAGACAATAGTTTAATTGGACTAAATTAAACATTAACTCACTTTAACAGTTCAATTTTGTTATCATTAAGATTTTTTTTATTTTACATTTTTTGTTTAAAAAAAAAGGTAAAAGAATTTTTAAAAATTTCAATCTCGTTTTAAGTTTAAATTTTAATAACATTGATTTCCAAGTAAAAAAAAAAAAAAAAAAATAAAAAATAAAAAAAAATCTATATGGTCCATTATTTGTGGATAATAAATTCCAGCTAATGAATTCACACAGCACAAAGTTTGTAGTGTGATTTCATTAGGTGCCAGTAAAAAATGTATGCTTTTCTTTGAAATGAAAACAGCAAAAAAAAAAAAAAAAAAAATCAGGGAAATTTTCAGCACTTATTCATTAACGAATAAATTAATGAATAGTATACTATATACATTATTTTATTAGGAAACTCTGCATATCTTGGAGGAAGTTACAAAACCAATTTCGATACATCATGAATACTTTTAAAATTCGGTGGGGGGGAATGACATTTTTTTTTTTTTTATAGTTTTAAAAAAATCATTGATCAGTAAAAAAAATGTTTGCAATAACAAATCTTGAAAATTTGTCCTGAAGCCTTACAAAAATAATTCAATAAAACTCAAAAAAAATAAAAAAATAATAATAATTTCGCTTGCAGAATTTATTTAATATTAAAACACTTTTTTTAAAGATTTTACAGGGAAAGAAAATCTACAATGAATATGTGTTTTTGTTTTGTTTTTTTTTTGTAAATTTACTTGTACTTTTTCAGTGTGATTTTGAAATTCTTCTGGTTGCTGATGACAAAAAGAAATCTTTTTTTTTGTTAAATAAAAATGTGTTTGAAGAAATCGAAAAATGTAGTTTGATGTCATTTTTGCTTAAGAAATATTTTTTTAAAAAGTTTTATTTATTCATTATTTTCGGATAAGGAAAATCAAATAGGGAATAATTCAACAATTCTGAATTAACTCCCTATTGTTTTAAAAAGTAATTATTATGATTCCTGGAAGTGTCGAGAGAATATTTGATGACATTGGTAGCTGAAAGAAAACAAAAATGAAGCCAAGGCAATCAATCAAACTGTATCAATCCAATAGAATTTTTTTTTTTATCAATTTTGCTTTTTGCACAATTTTTGTTTTGTTTTTCTTGTAAAAGGCTGCATTTTCTTTTCTTTATATTTTCTTAAAAATTACTTCATTTTATTTTTTTAAAATATATTTTTAAAAACTTTTCATTTTAATATAAAATTATTATAAGTTTCATAAAATAAATAATTTTATTTCTACTACAATACAAAAACAAAAACTTTAAATGAAATTAAAGTCGGTAGTTACTAGTAAGTCAATTTTATTAACTTTTTTTTTGAGAATTAAATCAATTTTAAAATCCATACAGTATCTTCTTAATCATAAAGAGACATGGACATATAAACTTCATTCATTGGCTTATCTTATAGTTTAACGTCCTAAAAATTAACGATCAATGTTGTTGGAGGACACTTAGTTACAAAAAATCCAAAAGTAAAACTACAGATACTTTTAACTAAAAAGGTCAATTTGTTTTAGATATTAAGAAGAGTTTAATAATAAAAATACAGTTTTACTTTTATTTTTATTACCTTTTCAACTTTTTTAAATCAGTGAGTGACTGAGTGTGCCTGAAGCTCATCTTTGGATCTGAGAAAACCATGCGTCGGAAATAAAATTAAAATTTTTAAAAATATTATCCAAAATAAAATATTTTTTTTGTTAGCAGTAAGTAAAAAAATATGCAGATGTTAGCAGATTTTCGAAGTTGTCCTTTGTAAATATAGCAACTAAGTGATTTTTAGCCTAAAAAAATAAAAAGGCTAATTAACTGTGAAAGTCAGGGAGCGATTTGAGTTGACATTGTAATGGATAAACTAAACACTAAACAGGGCCCTCTTTAAATCGATAACAATTCTATATTTTTTTTATTATTCTGACAAGTGTCGCAACCTATAGGAAAGTCTCTAAAAGAGAAAAAAATGGTTAAAATTACATTTTCCGTTTTTTTTTTTTTTTTGTTTTGTTTTTATTTTTTTATGCGGAAAAAACAGCATAGCATGATGGAAAATAAAAGCCCCCAAACTCAATATGAGTGAACCAGTAAAAAGGGAAGTTTAATCTCCGTGAAGAAAACGGCATGGATATTTTAATTTTTTTTTTTCTTTTTTTTTTTTTTTCTGCCAGGAACTTGTAGGAGTTGAGAAGCAGGAAAAAGATCCTTAACTTCTGAAAATATTTTTTTTCAAGTAGGTGAAAATAATTCTTAGCTAAAAATGTCATTTTGGTTTTGTAGTTTTCTTTATGCTATTTTTTCTTTTATTTATTGTCTGCCTCCAAACTTCTGCCAAACAGCAACTGAATTACCTCCTGAGTCTTCAGAATATGAGGCTAGTTAAAAATAATTCTCTAAAAGGAAGTAAATTAGTATTTATTTAAGTAAGCAGAAATCATTTGAAACGCTAAAACCAATTTTATAAATAAAACGAAAAGTTGATACTATCAAACATAATTAATTTAATGACCGATATTTTTTAAATTAGTATTTTTTTGTTGTTATTGGTGATCAGATCAAGTTTTTACTTGGTGAACTGGAATCATGAGAAACTTTTTTATCTCCCTTAATTTTCATTATCCAGCTTCATAATTAGGATCATATTTTATTTTTATAAATAAAAAAATAAATAAATATCCTTCAACATTCTTCAATAAACTGGAATTATAAAATTGTCTGATCAGAATATGAGACTAAGTAAAAATGTAATTCAAGGGACGTTAAGTCAGTATTTAAAACCTAAAAGTAGTATGGTACGTTAAACTCAACGATGTACAAGAAATAAATTTTATTTTTATTTCAGTTACTAAAACTTTTTTCTTCCTTGCCATTTTAATAACTACCAGATTTTTCTATGCTCAGTTTTCAAGAATTCGACTAAAAATGTTAAAAAAAAGAAAAATTAGGCGAAGGCGGTGGTAAAATTTTTAATTAATTGATAATTACATTATTTCAGTTAAACGAAAATAAAATTTGTCGACGAATTATCATTGCCAAGGTTTTAATAATGAAGTTAAATATAACAGTACAATTACAACTGATCGTGTAAAACAAAAGAAAAATAAAGGCACCGTTGTTATTTTTTCACTCATTGTTTCAGACAAGTTAAAACAGCATCACAAAAAGTTTATCTCGGTGAATAAGACTTTTTTTTTGTCTATTATTAGTAATATTGTTCTCTATGATATTGAAAACCATTATGGAACTTCTGTGAAAATGTAGTAAATTATTCGCAACTTGAAGCAAAAAATAATATCAATGACTCAAATTAATTCTTAAAAAACAAAAAGAAAAAAAACAGTAATACTTTGATTTATTTAGTTAAAATTTTAAATAAGAGCTATAATTTTTTAAATTAAATCATAGCTCTTATAATAATTTTAACTAAGTAAATCAAAGTATTACTGTTGTTGTTTTTTAAAGAATTTAAATTATTTAACTTATACAAAGAAGTAAAATAGTTAATGAGTACAGTGCAATTTTGTTTTGATTTTTTTTTTTTTAGCTAAAGTTTTTAGCATTTAATAATAATAATAATAACTTACCAAAGAACTAATTTAGAGTTTAGGTCACTTCTCCAAGGGAATGGGGATTTGGATCCTGTGTCTTCAGGTTTTTCTTCTTCGTCTGCTAACAACTGGGTAAAATTCCACCTGGTCAGGTCAGCTACATCAACAACATTTTGTTTTTTTCCCAAAGGCTCCATACTTACGACTAAATTGAATTCTTCACTTGTCTCTTGTCGCAATAAGTTTTTACTTTTTATTTACGTTTTAAGATCAAAGATAGTTAAAGGTTTTTTTGTGAGTTTTTTTGCACGTTTTTTTTTTACTAATGCCAACACAGATAACAAACAATACTTTTTTTAAAAAGTTAAATTTAATAATAAATGGAAAGCTTGAGCAAGCTTAAAATAAATATTGTCTGAAACACCACTTTTTTTTTAATATATAAAGTTTATACGAATTAAATATTCTTACTCAAATTCCAAACATCCACAACGATAATAATGCATGTGTGACAAACAGTCGAGTGTAAACACCACACCTTTTGTACAAGTCAAAATATGTTTAGAACTAGTAAAAAGGCATTCGACAAAGATGAGTGTTGATTCTAGAATATACTATTTACATTTAGCAAATACTTGGGAAGTTTCTCTATTGAGTAACGAAGGTGCAAACTCTTTCAATGTCTTTTGGACATTAAAAGTGTTTGCCGTAGGCTGCGCAAAGTTTACCATACCGCCATATTAAATCTCATGTGACTGGAGGCTGATGGGCGTCAAAACCGGGAATGTAATTATTTTCTGAAATATTATGCTTAAATTTATTTCAACTAAAAGAAATTTAAAAAAATAGAGGGAACTTTTAAATTTATTCCATAAAAATGTTCGATAGAATTTTACTATATTTAATTTCATTTATTCATCTAAAAACAGCTTATTGCGTGTATGGAATTTGGTTTGTCGTGATTATAAGCGGCGTAAATTTTTCAACTACATAAGCGGTCCTATTAAAAAACAAAAAAAAAACAACAGTAGTAGACGGATTATTGAAGATTTTTCCTCGGAGAAAGACGGCTCCTCTCAAGTCTTAAATCAACTGTCTAATATTTATCATCTTTCCTATAAAAGATATACAGACATTGTAAAAAATACAAATCTATCATAAGCTTACGTTTTATTTATAGTTGGTAATTTACATTTTACACCCACACTGAGTTGTAAGTAGGATTTTTTAGAGACGCGTATGCTCATAACGGAGTTTTTAACGAACCGTTCACTTTTTTTTCAGCTTTCTTTAGGTTAGGCATTTGTCGTCGTACTTAGTAACTTTCTTGGAATTTTAAAATGAATCTGTTATTTAATCCGCGTTGAGGGTATAACAGTCAAGGTGATGACGGGGTCTGAATGAAGCGTAATTTCTACTAGGTATGTTCAATACTTCGCTAAAAGAGCATTTATATACCCCGATGAAAAAGATCCCAAACTTGATTAAACAATTTTTTTTAGCGTCTAAAAATAAATGTTTGTTATCATTAAGAGGAAAAATCGAAAAGTATTTTTTGAATATTTAAAAAAAATTTTTCAATCGTTTCTAGCACGTCGGAAAATTATAATTAAAAATCTTGTTTGATTTTTTTTTAGTCATTAAAATTAATTACAGTTTGTAAACAAAAGTGAAATTCTCCGTTTAAAAATATTGTAAAATTCAATTATACTTTTTTTCAAAAGTTATTTTAGGAAAATTAGAAAATTTAAAGTATACTTAATGTAATTTGAAAAAAGCATTACTTAATTTTTTGCAGAAAATTTTAGTTGGAAATATGAGAAGCGTGTCTAACCGTGGTGATTGTTTTTTTTGTGGGTTTTTTTTTTTTACGGTGTGGAATTTTATTTTAAAAAAACTCATTCACTCGAATGAAATAATGATTGCAGTTGTATTTTCGTGCCGGCTGTATGTACGTGAACTCTAGAAGCAAAACTTTTGGCTGTTACTGCTCACTACTACATCACTACTTGCCATTTGGCTTTTGTAATTTTCTGTATGGTGTGGGAGTAGTGTAAACGGTTATCGGCGTTGAAAGCTGAATCGGTGAGCCGAGTTAAATTCAGGGCTACTCTATTGCGTTCACTTTCGCACAAGTGCACTTGGGAAAGCGTGCATCCGTCTCTTCTCTCCCTGCTAGCTATGGATTAAGTAGCAGAATAGGCTGGGTTCTCTAACTTTGAATAGCAATCAGTCTAAGAAAAGGAAAACTCGGAATTCAAAACCTTGGAAAAAGGCAACGGGAAACCCTTCCACTATCTTTTCTAAGAATGCATACCAATTCAATGATGATAAAAAAAAAGAATTCTGTGTAGTATCAAAGTTGCTTACGTCTTGAAGGAACGTAACATTAAAAAAAGAAAAGGAAGCCGTGGAGAGTTATAAACGCTTACGTCTTGAAGGGACGTGGCAAATTCTGTACTAGAAATGTAAATGTTTCTGACGATAAAGAAAACTACGAATACGTAACTTAATTTCGAAATTCTTCAGCTAAAATTTGTTTTCGAAAGTTTCGACGAGAAATAAAGGTGTGATGATCATCATTATCACTCACATACATACATACCAACACAAATTCAAATTTCAATAACAATCATTCATTGGGTAGAAATCAACGCTGCTATCTTATGCGACAATTTTGAAATCGCTATATTTTCGTATAGTAGATTTTGTGCACTTTTGGGAGAATCGGATCCCAAGAGCCTTCTTAGATTAGTAAATATTTTTCAGAAAATATCAGCTTCTAATTGGTCAATAAACACACAAGTGGGCGTTGCAATCCACCCATGCACAATATGTTTTTTTCCAGCGCGTGACTAAGTCAAGTTTCCCGCCAAAGTGCTCCGATCCTGTCACATGATTACGTTATCTATAAAAACAAACACGAGTTTGCCTCTTCCTCTCTTTCTTCTCTATTCTTGCTGCAAAATGTAGTCCCAGAGAATTATCGTCTTGACCTTGCGGTCAGACGTTAAAGAACATTACCAACATACACGGACGTACGAACATTCACCAAAATACGAACGTTCACACACACAAAAACAGTGTTAACTATGTGCTTTGTAAAAGTTTTGTTTAATAGATATATTTGTTTATATATATTGGTCTTGTTTGTTTGTCTTCCTTATCTTCAGTTAGACTTAATCCAAGTCCAACATTCTATTGTAGCTGAACCTTCGAGCAGAAAATGTAAACGGACGTGTTTTCTTTACATTTTCACCCCCACTCCCCGGCCAACCGGTTCTCTACATGATGGTGACCGCCGACGTAATTTTGCGAAGGAAAGCCAATAGTCAGCATAATGGTGAACCGGCCAATTCATAATGGTGACCGCCGACGTAATTTTGCGAAGGAAAGCCAATAGTCAACATAATGGTGACCGCCAACGGGATTTTGCAAAGGAAAGCCAATAGTTAACATAATGGTGACCGCCGACGTAATTTTGCGAAGGAAAGCCAATAGTCAGCATAATGGTGACCGCCTACGTGATTTTGCAAAGGAAAGCCAATAGTCAACATAATGGTGACCGCCGACGTAATTTTGCGAAGAAAGCCAATAGTCAACATAATGGTGACCGCCAACCGTCAACATAATGGTGACCGCCGACGTAATTTTGCGAAGGAAAGCCAATAGTCAACATAATGGTGACCGCCGACGTGATTTTGCAAAGGAAAGCCAATAGTCAACATAATGGTGACCGCCGACGTGATTTTGCAAAGGCCAATAGTCAACATAATGGTGACCGCCGACGTGATTTCAACAATATAAATAATGGTGACCGCCGACGTAATTTTGCGAAGGAAAGCCAATAGTCAACATAATGGTGACCGCCGACGTGATTTTGCAAAGGAAAGCCAATAGTTAACATAATGGTGACCGCCGACGTAATTTTGCGAAGGAAAGCCAATAGTCAACATAATGGTGACCGCCGACGTGATTTTGCAAAGGAAAGCCAATAGTCAACATAATGGTGACCGCCGACGTAATTTTGCGAAGGAAAGCCAATAGTCAACATAATGGTGACCGCCGACGTGATTTTGCAAAGGAAAGCCAATAGTTAACATAATGGTGACCGCCGACGTAATTTTGCGAAGGAAAGCCAATAGTCAACATAATGGTGACCGCCGACGTGATTTTGCAAAGGAAAGCCAATAGTTAACATAATGGTGACCGCCGACGTAATTTTGCGAAGGAAAGCCAATAGTCAACATAATGGTGACCGCCAACGTGATTTTGCAAAGGAAAGCCAATAGTTAACATAATGGTGACCGCCGACGTAATTTTGCGAAGGAAAGCCAATAGTCAGCATAATGGTGACCGCCTACGTGATTTTGCAAAGGAAAGCCAATAGTCAACATAATGGTGACCGCCGACGTAATTTTGCGAAGGAAAGCCAATAGTCAACATAATGGTGACCGCCAACGTGATTTTGCAAAGGAAAGCCAATAGTTAACATAATGGTGACCGCCGACGTAATTTTGCGAAGGAAAGCCAATAGTCAACATAATGGTGACCGCCGACGTGATTTTGCAAAGGAAAGCCAATAGTCAACATAATGGTGACCGCCGACGTAATTTTGCGAAGGAAAGCCAATAGTCAACATAATGGTGACCGCCGACGTGATTTTGCAAAGGAAAGCCAATAGTCAACATAACGGTCCACTACAAAGGAGTGGGACTCAGCTGAAAATCCTCCCTCACGTGCTAAATGTATTATGGATTGAGTTGGATCTTTTCTAATTGATCTCTTAACTCTAAGTTGAAATGGTGATCCCTCTTCCTGTTGTGACCTCCTGATCCAGGTTTCCTATCTACTGTTCCTTCTTTTTAAAACTTATTCACAGTTCTCTTGACGGTTCTTGAATGGACTTTGAAGATGGAAGCCAGTGTGTGAATGTTCGTACCACTACTGAAGGCCTGAATGATATTTTTCATCTCACCATTGCTCATTTGGGAAGACAGTGAGTTTAACACAAAACGATATTAACCTATTGTCTTTTTATCTGAATAACTCAAAGGGTTTTTCAGTGGTTCTTACAAAAGATGGTGTCAAGATGTCTAAACGTTTTATCTGAAAACATGAAATAAAGTAAATTAGTTTAGTATTTGTTTTTTGTTTTTTTTTTTTTTGTTTTTTTAGATATTAAACATTTTGGGGA